TAATTATACGGAGACAATTCAGTTACCACTTCTTGATGACAACAAAAAGTGGACAATATCAACTCATTCCAGATGAAAATTATCGTTATAGCTCATTAATGGACAAAAATGATGAAAATATTAAAATATACAAAGAAGAAAATGCATAGATTGCTGAAAATACAATTTAAGAAATCGAGGTACCCTTAAAGTACTTGAAATTTTTAATGATTATATTTTAATTGCTAAGGAAATCATTCTAAATTTTAAAATTCCAAAAACATATGAAGAAGCTATAAATAAACAGTGAAGAAAAATCAGAATGGAAAAAAGAGATGGATAGCGAATTGAATTTTTTAAATGAAAATAACACGTGGGAACTTGTTAACTTGTCGGAAGGTGTAACAGTATTATTACCACGATAATGGGTGTATCGAATTAAAAATAGTCCAAATAGTCAACATTCAACATTCAACCAACGTCTGGTATTGACTACACTTATACTTTTAGTCCTGTATCAAGACTAGTAAGAGTACGTTCAGTTTTAAGCCTCTGCAACTGAACATATGATTCTAATACAGTTTAAAACAAGGGCGGCTCCAAGACGAATTTTAGGGGGGTAGGGGGGGCATTGCCTTTAGCCTTTCCCCCCCCCTGGAGCCGCCCTTGGTTTGAAAGTTTCAACAACATTTCTCTAAGGAGGCGAAAAATTTTATATATGAAAATACCAGAAGGATGTGATGATTCAACATGAAAGATTTGCAAATTAAAATGTAGGGTTATTAAGAACCTCATTGCTGTTATAAACGTTTGACTTAATTTTTATTTAAACTTGGATTTATGCAAAATGAAGCCAACCCCTGCTTACATGTAAGACAACGTAATAATAATAACAAAGTTTTTCTTGTATTATATGTTGATGATGGTGTACTAGCAGGAACTAGACAAGAAGAATTGGAGTACTTTATTAATAAGGAACTAAAAAAAGTTTTCAAAATTAATTCAAAAACAGCAATATATTATTTAGGTTTAGAGATAAAGAAACATACAGGACAAATCAAAATCTGTTAAACATATGCAAGAAAAGTCTTAGATCGTTTAAATTTTTCTAATTTTCTAATTGCAAAAAAAATTCTGCAACTCTAAAATCAGGGAAAGAAATAGAAAAATCAAATTTTATTTACCTATACCCATACATATGGAGTTGGATTTTTATCAAGAAGTCTTGAAAATTGGTCTTTCATTGATGTTGTTCGACTAAAATGAGATAGGTACTTAGCTGAAACTACTTATTTAGGGATCAGTTACCATCCCGGATTACCTAAAAAAATTGAATGTTACAGCAATGCTGACTTCGGAAGTTGGGATAAAAGGACTATAAATTTCAGGAATAGTAATAATTTAACACTGGTGGCATAATTTCATGTTTAAGTCAAAGATAAAGTATGGTTCCTAGATCTACGACGGAAGCAGAAATAGTTGCAGCTACAAAAAAGATTATGGTTAAGATTTTTTAAATTACAAATACAGCTTGAACATGTACTTGTATTGCAATTCATCTGCAGACAAGTTAGCACAAAATCCAAAATTTCGTCGGAAGACAAAGTACATAGACACAAAAAACTTTTTTTATGAAGGACAAAATTATGGAAGGAAAAACAGCTATTCAGCAAATACCTACAAAACAGCAAGTTGCAGATGTTATGACCAAAGCTTTACGAAAAATAAAATTGGCAAAATTCTGTGGTGAAATGGGACTTACAATTAAGAACCTACATGCAAGGACCATTCACTGTCTATCAATCCTAAGAAGACAAAAATAGTCTATTTCACAAGGAAAAGGTTGAAAATGGAATTGAAAACTCCAAAATTCCTAAACACAGAACTAATCTTTGCAACAGAAGTGAAGTACCTAGGTCTCACCTTTGACAGCAAGTTAATATGGAACTCGCATTTAGAAAACAGAGTTAAAAGAGCATACATTGCTTATGAACAATGCTGCCGAACTGTGGGGCGCACCTGGGGTTTCTCCCCCAGAGTCCTAGGCATGGACTTACACGGCTATCATAAGACCTATGCTAACACACGGTGCAATTGTCTGGGTACCGAAAATCCAAAAATTAACAGCTATCCGTAAACTAGAACAAATTCAAATAACAGCATGTCTCAACATAACAGGAGCCATGAAAACAACACCGACCAGAGCTATGGAAGTCATTCTTAGTCTCACTCCCCTTGATATTTACATCAAAGAGGTTATCACGGCTATCATAAGACCTATGCTAACATACGGTGCAGTTGTATGGGTACCGAAAATCCAAAAATTAACAGCTATCCGTAAACTAGAACAAATTCAAATAACAGCATGTCTTAACATAACAGGAGCCATGAAAACAACACCGACCAGAGCCATGGAAGTCATTCTTAGTCTCACTCCCCTTGATATTTACATCAAAAAAGTTGCTCTGACGACAATGACACGCCTCCGTACAGTTGGAATAGAACCTGATGAAGGATCTGGTGAGGCGAGACGTCGCTTTTGGCAGGAGGCGCTCGATACACTGCTTCAAGCGAACATGGACTCCATCTCACCGACATATATCTTCCATAAAGTTATAATAGAACAAATAGAAGAGCCAGAAGTGGCAGGTACGATTCATATCTACACCGACGGTTCTTAAACAAGGCTCAGGATGTGGAATTTACTTCAGATTCTTAAACCTAAACATAAAATGGGCTGTGAGCAATAGTGCCAGTGTAGTTCAAACAGAGCTAACGGTGATTCTCATAGCCGCAAAAGAAATAACCAAAAACAATATCACTGGAAGGAACATGATCATCTATACAGATAGCAGACAAGCACTACTCACCCTGAACAGACCACGAATTTACTCAGGGTTAGTACTAGAATATCACGGAGCTTTGGCCGAAGTATCCATCAACAACGTGGTCACCTTAAGATGGATCAAAGGTTACGCCACATCGAAGGGCAACCGTCTTGCTGATTCACTAGCCAAGAAAGCAGCCAACCAAATACTTTTTGGACCTGGCCCTTCTATTGGCCTGACAAAATCGGTAGTGACAGACCTAATTAAAGAACATTTCCTTGTGAAATTCAAGGAAAGATGGGATTAAACAAGAAACTGCCGAGTTGCCAGGCAGCTGTTAAGTTATGGTGACAACACTGCTGCAAACAAATACATCTCCATATCGTGGGGCTGTCAGAATCCGCACTCTGCAGAGGGTTCGATCAAGAAGATGAGACCATCGAGCATATCCTTTACGATTGCTCGACGCTCTCATTTATTAGAACATTTGTGTTTGGCCAGTATCGGCTAACACCGGCCGATATAAGAGAAACACCTCTTAGCGACGTTGTCAACTACATTAAATCTGTAGGGTGGCTTACGAGCTAGGAGGTGCCTATCATCTTAGGAGGATGCACAATGGGCTTAATAAGGGCTAAGTGCCGTGGGGTAACCCACCCTCCACACGTTACAGATACAGATGAAGATTCCACAATTTAAGAAAATTATTAATTTATTTATCCTTATTTTTTTTTGTGGTTGTAAAACGGATTTATTATTAGTGTTATCTACGCATATCAGTCGCAGATGACAATTTGGATGATTTACTATAAATAGGAGAAGATGAAGCCTTTCTCGAAGGTAAAAAATTGCTAATTCAATATTAGAATTAATCTCTTTTAGAAAATAGTAGTCAACTTATTCACATTCTACTACAACATAACAATGGCGGCTCCAGGGAAGGGTCCGTGCCCTTCCAGTGAATCAAAAATTCTAACAATCCATAGAGCTTTTATTAAAAAAATATGCTAAGAAGGGAATTTTTTTAAATTAATTTTTCTTTCTAATTCATCAATGGCTTTGTGATTAAATTGCGTAATTATTCTTGCAGCCTCATAAATATTATCTATACGGTTGGCCTCGATATCCAACGATGATCCAATTTCTTTAACATCAATTTAATTTTTTGTGTTATAGAAACATAGATATCTTTATTAAAATAGGTGCATCCTAATTTACAAAAAAATATAGTTTTAAAAAACTAAAAAACACGCTTTTAAAGCATATCAAACTAAAAAGTTAAAATTATTTTTTTTAACACGCTTTTATTCAAATAAGCTTAAAACAATAATAAATGGAAAATACTAGTATTATTGTGAAAAAAAGCGTCGGGCGCTCGATGTACGAGAAATATGAACTTTGTTTTAGATAGATACTTTTTCAATAGGTGTAACCGTACTAATTTTAAATCATCTGAAAATGTACCATTGTCCAAAGAAGTATTTATAAAATGACACCAGACATTTCCAATTACTTCAAAGCTGTTCTTTATAATTTTACTACATAGTGCAACAATTTGTGACTTTATTTACTAAATTGATACAATAATTACTTTTAATTCTTAAATATTTAGTATTTTATAGTCGTTTCATCATTGTAATCAAACTCTATATCTTCTATGCCAAAAATAATATCTTCAAATATTTTCCCAAAAAATCTATTAAAAGAATTAACTAATTAATTTTTTGTTGAAAATTATTTTCTATCTCTGCTATTTTCCTTTTGATATAATGCAATGCGTGTTGCGGTAATAGTCAAATGAGTAGTTATTTTCAGGAAAGAAAAGGTCGCTCAACGTTTCTGTAAAACACATTTGAGAATCGGATTTTATTTTCTCTAAAATACTACTTGATACGATACTATAGAACCAAAACGTCAAACAAAATAAGGGCATTTTAATCTTCTACCAAATTCATATTTTTTTACTTCCCTCGTATATTATATGATAAATGTTTTAAGATTATATCATATTTTACGTGAAGTACCAACTTTTTTCAAGAACATTTTTTTCTCAAAATTAAAAATAAATACAATTTTCATATAGTGCAAACTTTTAGAAGCACACTGTATAAAAATGGATTCAAAGACATTATGTTGTTTAACAAATATTTTTTATTTATTTACAATTTACATATCTAATCACAGAACTTATCACTCAATATTGGTAACCATTTTTTCCTTGGTTGGAAGGCGCAGGAGGAACGTATTGTTTTTGAGCCTGGAAGTTGAAGCTGTTCTGACTTTGGCTGCCGTATCCTCCTGACTGTTGTCCTCCATGTTGTTGTTGCTGCCCAGCATGTGCTTTTGCTCCATAGTTACTGTGCTCTTCCTTGTACTGACCATCATCGAATACACCATTGGCTTCGTCAGCGAGGTTCTGTTCTATGGCTTTAAGGATATCTGCTGGTACTGGAGGAGCGGTGGGTATATGGGCTCCTTGGGGGATGAAACCGTTTTCACCAGCGGTGTATTGGATTTGGATCTGTTGGCCATCGGGGGCGGTGTAAGAGAAACCACCTTCAGCGTTGGTACCATCTCCTCTAGCGTCACCTTGAATAAAAGGCAAGAAATTAGTTTTTAATATATCAATGATCATCATCTTATACAAAGGATATTACCCATTTACTGTTAGATGAAAAAATATCCAAACCAAGATAAATATCTTCTCTAGCAAGTTGTTTGTTGCTTTTGGAAAGTGTATTTAAGATATTACAACTAAAAATACTAATTAAAAAAACTTACCGTGTTCTTGAACTGAAATACCATCACCAGTTTCTAAAGCATAGTTGTAAGTCTCTCCGTCATTTTCATTGTCCAATTTAAGGATGGGTACATCGTTAGCAGCCTTGTTGATTGGACCGTCAGGACCTTTGTTGAAACTAGCTTGGTTAAAGCTACCTTGGGCTTGATGGTTGAAGCTACTCTGCGATTGATGGTTGAAGCTACCCTGTGGTTGTTGGTTGAAGCTACCCTGTGCTTGTTGGTTGAAGCTACCCTGTGCTTGGTTAAAGTTACCACCTTGGTTTGGAGGCAGGTACTGGCTGTCCAAACGTCCGCACGAGGATAAGCCGAAGATGGCTGCTAAAACGAGGAACTGAAAATGGAAGGAATTTTAATATTGACACTAATAATGTTAATTGTAACAATGTGATTGAATAGTTCAATGGAATAAAGAAAATTTAATTGAATTTAATATATAAAATATTGAAATACAAGCGTTACACGCAAAGTATTTTTAAAGAAAATGGCTATCTTAGTGACTTTTATAGCCAACTTAAGTATCACTTTTGTAAAATAGTTTAGTTACATTGTTTTAGGATTACTATTACTTGTAGCCAACTGATGACATCAATTTAGTTATGTGCATTATGGAGCTATGGGGATCAAAATATAATTACTGGAAAACCCTGATGGTTGCGATAGACAGATGATTTCTTCAAAAAATATGGGGATTAGGGGATCAGTGTGATGTAGATGTTGAGAAGATAAGTGATTTACGTAAGATCCACAACAAGGTGAACAAAATGACCTCTAAATAACCAGGAAAATAAAAATAAGAAGTAGTAGGTGAGGGTACCTTTTCTGTTTTAGATTTTGTGATCTTTACTCCTTGGCTTTTCTGGCCAAAGTTTATCTTTAATTTGTATGAGAAAAAGGGAATAAGTAGAACTCAAACTAGGCTATAAAAGAAGAAGATCATAGTAAACCTGATAAAAAAAAATGATTTCTAACTAGTATAGAAGTCAGACAATAGAGCATTTAAGATGGTGGAATTGGGGCAAAATTGCAGAAACTCTTAAATTACAAAACTTTTTTTAACAGCAAAGTGTGGCATAGCCGTGATTGGAAATCAAATACTGTAGCTTAATGTTATGTAAAAAACTGTAATTAATAAAAGAAGAGTATAGCTACAATTATTATTGGGTAATTCAGTGGATTTTTAAGTAATTCATACAATGTTTCAAAAAAATTCTTTTAAGGGAGACAAGTATAGTAATTTTGATCTTTAAAAAGTCTAGAACACTCCTTAAAATTTATAAAAAGTTTAATTTTGTTTCTATATAACAATACAGCTAATTTTGAAAAAAATATATATATTATTGAAATAAAAACACTTACTTGTCTCATGTTGAACCGAAATATAATTATTTGAACTACAACAGAATGTATGATGCTGAAAAAATCTGACCTGATCTTTTTATAGTTGGCCTGGGTCCCCCAATTTCATTAATAGCAGATTTGGATAAATGTATTGCATTATAACATTTGTGATGGCCGCGGGGCATATAAATATTGAAACAAATGTTATAGTAAATTATTTTTTCTACAAGGCAAGGTACAAAGGAGTAGTCAACGGGGGGGCTTAGGTAACCTAGATATATGTTTTTTGATAAAGAATGTTAATATTGCTATTTAAAACTGTTGGTTAAGATAAAAATGGTATTTTACGAGTAATTATTATTTTTTGAGATTGATACGAGATTGATGACTTTGGTATATAATGCAAATCGTTCGGTGCTAGATCTGGCAGGTTGAATGGATGGAGAACAACCTGGAGTTAAATTCCTCGTGAATAATAGGAGTTCATAATAAAGAAGCAAAAATAATTTAATACAATAATAGTTACATACAAAATTTTTTCTACACCAGAAAAAAAGAAAAACAGCGTAAACCTCGAAAAATTTAAATTGACAGGCCATGGCAATTTTGATTTTGTCGGGAAACAACTGACACTACCGTTAAAAAAAATACTTTATCTAGGTGTTCCGTAGGGATGTAATAGCTTTGGTGTCGTTTATGTGATGTGAGTGACGTTTAATAAAATCAAGCATTTTAACAGCTTTGCACACGATATGCAGGTTAAAGGATAAACTTGTGTCAAAGATGATTCCGAAATCGTTTACTGAAGAGGAATTTTTTAATGTCAAATTATCGACATGTAAGAGTTCAGAATATGGGTTGGGAGATCTTGTGAAGTGAATTGTAGCACATTTGTTGACATTTAGGGACAAATGGTTTAGTTTGCACCACATGGTAAAACGATCGGGATCCGATTGTAATGTTAAGTTGTCACTAGTCTTTATGCTAAAAAACTTAAGGTCGTCTGCAAATAACAGACAGTCACTGTTTTGAAAACAATCTGTTGAATCGTTCAGAAATAATAAAAATAGGACAGGGCCAATATGAGATCCTTGTGGAACCCCTGATGTCATTGATACTTCACTAGAGACATAGTTTTGCACAGTAACACGCTAAGAGCGATGACTTAGATAAAAGTTGAACCAATTAAGGTAATTACCCGAAATACCAATGTCTGCTAGTTTTTTAAGAACCAGTTCATGGAAAAACTGTCAGAAACTTTAGACAAGTCTGTATAGATAGTTTCAATCCAATGACCAGCTTCGAGAGATGAGATTAAGTACTCTTGATACACGCCAAGATTTGTTGCAGTTGAGCGCCATTAATAAAATCCATGTTGACATGGAGAAAGGTAATATATGTGGCAAATACCTTGTCAGTCAGGATGGATTCGAATAACCTAGTCATTTTTATTGTTAGGAAAATGGAGGAAGATAGGGTGGGATAGAATCTTTTACCAGCCCAAAAAAAGGATGGAAATACGAGGTTCTGTGTGGACTACCGTCAGTAAAAAAATGTTACTAAGAAGGACAGTTATCCTCTACCTCGAATCGACGATACTTTGGATAGGTACATTAGTTGGAAGTTAATTATTTTCTACTTCAGACTTGAAGTATCACTATAGGCACAGGTAGAAATTGACCCAGTATACACAGAAAAGACAGCCTTTACCACCAGATCTGGATTGTAGCAATTCAGTGTCATGCCATCCTGGAATATGTGCCTGGTGTATTTAGACGCCATAGTCTTGGGGAAGACATTAAGTAAACATAATATGTATAAAGAGGCCAGTTTTTCAATCACAGTTTAAACTTTCGTTCACCTGAGCTTGGATCAAATATAGAACTAAGATCAACATAAGATCCATCATGACATTGTGATAATTCAGGAGATCTAAGTTTAATTTATATTGGTAGTTCTTAATCGAGGTATTTCTGTCAAAACTAAATGCTCTATGTTGGTTTGACGTTTACAAAAACATTCATTAAAAATGGAGATGAAAAATTTTACTACCAATTTTTCGAACAATAAAGAAGAATTGTTTGCAATTCCTTCTTCTATTTCGTTAATTATTATGTTAACTGTTTACTTAAACAACTGTAATATTGCAAATCCTTTTGGGTACATTAATATGCCTTGAACAGTGCAGCATTTTCCCAATCGTCTTAACTTATTACATCGAACACAAAATGTACAAAAATAACTCGTTATTATGTAATATACTTATGATATGTCAATGTCAAAACGTTGATCTTAGTTTAAACGCCCGACTTTGATGGTTCAATTTTTCAGGTAGTTTAAATTAAGTTCAAACGTGAACTACATTTGGAATACACCATCTTTCAATTAAACCAAGTTCATTGACTGAACTCAGTTTAAACGATGATTGAAAAACCGGCCCTTGAAGAGCATGCTCGAAGGTATTATCCGAATAGCCGAAGCATGAAAAAATTAAACTAAAAATAGAATAACAGACAGGAATAAATGCCTGTACACCTAGGGGTGACAACAAACTAAATGGAAAAATCAAAAGATTCTGCATCGGGTGGGGATTGCACCCGCGTCTCCAGTAACATGTACTGATGTTATGATCACTAGACCACCGTGGCTTGTTCAACCGGTGCTGATCTAGCAGACTACAAGATATATTAGGATGTCCTTTCCTGAATCCTAATTTAAAAAGATGTTAATAGTTGTAGATGTAGATACATTGATCCTAAGTTCGTAGAAATTTGTGAAGGTAAACAGACAAATTCAAAATTATGGAACTAGTGAGAAGAAATGGGGAAGAAGCTATTGTGGTAGGCGACTTTAACGGGAAATCACCTATGTGAGATTCACCAATAGGTAACTCACGTGGAGAAGAGGTGGAAGAATGGATAAATTCTAAATTAGAATGGATAAAGTAAACCTTGGAAACACCCCAGCTTTCGTCAGAAGAAATAGCGTCTCCTTCATAGATATTTCACTAGCCACGGCACATATTTTTCGAGCTGGAGGCGGGGAAAAGGCAGAAAAAACCTGCATACATCACGAGACTTACCAACTATCAGGAGCTGGAGAGGATACTAAACATCGACCTTATGACGAGACGTGACCAAAACTTAAAAGAGTTCATAGAAACACTTAAAAGAGCACAGAGAAAATGCACAATAGTAAGAGATGGAACAACTACGATGCCATACTGGTGGAATAGGGAATTCAAAGAGAAAAGGCAGGACTGTAACAGAAAGAGGAGGGAAATTATCAGGCGTAAAGCTAGAAACCTAAATAAAAACCATCACAACACACGAAAGATCATACAAAGAGACAAAGAAAACTATTGTACAGGTCAAAAAAAGAATGCTGGAGAAGTATTTGCAATAGGCTAGAAGAGAACATCTGGGGCGAGGGTTACAAAATTGTCATTAAATTTTATAATGAGATAGACATAGAAGAGAAGAAAATAATTGTGGAACATCTATTTCCTGTAACAAACGGGGAATTCAGACGCAGTGGACAGATAGAACTACCCTCTCCCTTTTCAGTAGATGAGCTTTACGAAGCTGGAGCAGGGCTGAAGCCCGGTAAGTCACCGGGAATAGACGGATACTTTCAAATACGCAATAAAATTGGCACCAGATTCGATCTTAGGGATTATGAACGGTCTACTAAGCACACATACCTTCCCCACAGAGATGAAGAAAATGAAGGTAATTCTGATCCCAAAAAGCAAGGCCAACAGTCTAACGATTCATCTGCATATAGACCAATATGCCTACTTAACACAATGGGCAAGCTCTATGAGGCCATGGTTAAGGAGCGACTGCTTAAGGAGATAGAAGACAAAAACGCATTCTCCGAGGGGTAATTCGGTTTCAGGAAGGGGAAATCCGCCATACATGACGTCAAATGGGAGATTGACTAGGTTAAACGGAGCAGGAAAAAATGGAGCATGATGGTCCTCCTGGATGTCGAAAATATATATCGGAAAGGAGGCAAAGATGCAGACCGATAAATTCAAAATTATTCTTTCGAAAAATATGTTTACAATATTAGTAATGGAAGATATTGATCATTTTCAAAGTAACGTCCTTTTCCAGGAAAGTAAAAACTGTTTTATGTGATTATATTATAAATTAGATAATCTTGTTATACCTCGGATATATAGGTGGTTATGATTGACAATCTGTGTTATTGTTAACAGGTCTGTTATTTTATAAATACGCAGAAATAACAACCTGTTCACAAATAACGTGTCTGTTGAAAATAACATTACTTTCCATCATAACTCCTACACGGAAAAAAATGTGACTAGAAAATTTTACTACAATGTTGTAGTAGTAGACTTGTAGAAAAATACTTAACAATTTGTAGAAAATTTTACTACAATTTATAGTTAAAAACTATTAATTATTGTAGCAATTGAATTGTCGAATAAAATGCTACAACAATAGGAAAGACGTCCACAATGTTTAGTATATTTTACTATTGTTTGTAGAAGTAGAAATTTATTACAATTATCGTAATTACTACTACTAACTTCTGTAAAAATTTGTACAAATATTAATAATTATCTCTACAAAAAATAGTAATTTTCTCTACAAAAAATAGTAATTTTCTCTACAAAAAATAGTAATACTTTACATCCCTTCTTATAATAAACATTCAATTTTGTTAAAAAATATTCTACAATATTGTAGAAATTCTTAGTCATGTGAACAAAACAAAATTCTGCTATTGGCCAACGTTTTCTGATGTCGATCATAAACGGCCAGACAGCAGTAGCCGTTCGCCATGTTCACATAACAAAGCATGGTACATATACGAGTACCTATAACACATTATTATATTATAAGCACCGATGCGTTTGAGAAAATTTTAATAATAAATTCTATTGGTGGTAAGTACATTTAATATTGTTTCTGAATAATTTACCTTTAGATAACTAATTTAAATAACCTTAGTAGATTAGATTAAAAAAATAGTTGTGGCCAACGATCGAATGTTGTGCCCAACGATCGAATTTTGTGCCA